GAGTCTAGAGAATCCAGGAAATTGGTACAAGCATGTCGGTAAAGTGCAGCAATTAATCAACAATATCGAGCCTAGGAGCACAAAAGTAACTCCGTTTAAGTTGTTAACAGGTGTCGATATGCGTGTAGTTGACATAGCGAATTTGAAAGAACATGTGCAGCAGTCTTTGATTCAGGAGTTAGCCGATGACCGAGATCAGATACGCAAAGAAGCCAGGGAAAATATTCAAGCCCTACAGGAGGAAAACAGACGATCCTTTGACTCAAAGAGGAAGGACGAAAAGCTCTACAACTTGAATGATTTAGTTGCGATCAGGCGTACACAGTATGGTGTTGGTCTAAAGTTAAAAGGAAAATATCTTGGACCTTATAAGGTAGTTAAAGTTCACAAACATGGCAGGTATGATGTTGAAAAAGTGGGAGATAGCGAAGGTCCTTTGAAAACAACCACTGTAGCTGAATTTATGAAGAAGTTCGGGACGAACATCACGTCAGGAGGGCCGAATGTAGGAATCAGGAATAAACCAGAAGAGCAAGTAGGAAGAGAGACACGGAGCGGTTGTCGCTTCTAATAAAGTATATCGAGAACGCGAGAGAATCGATAAAGTAGAACTCAAGAAGAGTCAGTCGGTGTCAAGATCTCAAGCGTCACGCAAGCACAGAAATTTAAGTTTTGTTAACTCATTAAAGTTAAAACCACAATATTTGTAATCGGATACCAAATAATAATAATCAATAAACATTATAATAATATATCACTTCGTCGTCTCAAGAGTTGTTTGCATCACTGCGGAATTCCTGGGGCCACATGTATGCAGATGGGAGTTTCATTTTGCCATACACACGCGAAAACCCAGGGAACATTACCTAAGCTCTATGAGGTCCTATCGTCACTCACCTTGGTTCCTCAATTGGTGCGTGGCAAAGAATTCATCATGTAAATAGGTTTATCGTGTGAAGTCAGTGAGTGACTACGACTACCTCACTGATGCATAATGCATTCGATGTCTGCTTTGCAAATGACAAATTTCTTCCAGCAATTTCAAATTCTGGGCGAGGCACAAATCTATTGCATGAATAAATATTTTAAGCATTCTTAAAATAACAGACACGATCTTAAAAAGGAATCAAAAAATAGCATACGATGAGAGCATTGAGTAATAGTTACCTGTTCGAGTATAATTTTAATATATAAGCTTTTAACAATTTAATAAAGTTTTTGGTCATTAGAATGAAGGGGTGATCATCTATTTCTCGTTTTAATTAATGTTTTAAGGAATTTAATATGTTGATTTGCAGGTCATATTAAACTGCCCTATTATGAGAGCTCCAAATAAATGAAATATGAGCCTTAGATGTAAATTTCAGCCAACATATTTTACCCCTCGTCCAGCCGTGGGGACATTGAAAATATTCCGAACCGCATGCAGCTTTGGAAAGAGGGCGGCAGAGTTGCTGTTGCAATTTCTGTTTTGAAATTGGCTTATTTAGGTATTTTTTATGCGCTCGACATTCAACGTCGACCGTGCTGTGCTGCAGGGGCTTGTAGTCCCTGGCCTTTGTTTTGTAATTGTTTCGAAAGTGGGCGGCAACGAGGGGGGGGCGGCGGGATACAGTAGGCGGCGAAAGTTAACGTCATTGTCGTTTCCGAACTCGACGACGTTGGGTCGTTGTCGTTGGGCCAAAAGAAGAAGGACGACATTAGCGGCAACTGTTTTGAGTGCTGCTTCCTGCCGGTCTGTTCTTTATCGTTCCTATATAGCCCCAACCTTACTCTTCCACCCACTTCCACCCACTGGCCGCTTTCAAGTGGCATTCGAGTGGCAGCCATTGTGCAGCATTATGATGAAAGTTTGTGTCGCAAAATGCAAATATTTGAAAGGTAATTGAATTTGAACTTTGCTGCTCATCGTCCTCGCCTCCCAGTTAGCTACTCGGGCTGCCTGTTCAGTGTATGCCAGGTGTACAGTGCCAAAACAGCAACGACCTTTTCAAAAATTCGGCCCTTATCACGTGTTTACAAAATTGTTTTATTTTTAAACAAAATTTGTAAAAACCTTTAACAGTTTTTTTTATCGGAGCGCGAAGAGATTGTGTATTAATATTTAAATTTTACCTTAACATCACTTAAAAGTTCGGTTGGTAAAAGTACTCAGAATTCTTTCGGCTTTATAATTTAATATAATATTGTAATATTATTACAAACAATATTTTCAAATGATATACTATATTTTATTGAGATTAGGAGGAGTAAGTGGCTTCGATATCCCCAATTAATTATTTAATAACAAAATAAAATCTTTATAATAGATTGTAAATTTTAAATTTTTTTTGAATTTATATATGTATTTCTTATTAGTGATTGTATATAAAAACTAAATTTTCATAAAAAGTGGTTAAACCTGGCGGTTTTTGTGATTATCTTTTTTACTTTTAATATAACTCAAAAAGACAAAAAGATACTTTAACTTTTCGGTGTTTTTTTAGTGTAGAAAGGAGGCTTTAAGTGTCCGATATCGCGCATGCAACGGCATTAAAGCTTCGATGGTAAATATTTGACAAACAGCTTACATGTTTTATTTACCCAAGCTGAACGGTCAACACAGCACAAAGCCTGAAACGCACTCTCTCTGTCGCACCCACTTATTCGGTGGCTGTCTCACTCTGTCTCACTCGTTTGTTTGTTGTACAAATTATATACAAAATTTGCACACTCATGAGGGCATTCAATTTCCATGTTTTCGAGTGCAAATGAAAATCTATACAAGGCAGGAAAACACAACTGCCCCCTGCCCCTCCCCAGTCTATGTGCTCACTTTTGGGGCATGCCGCAGGTGCAGTGAACAATAAATTTTGTTGAAAATAAACAATTATTTAGACATGATTGGCTTGTTGCCTGCCATTTTTTGAGTTGTCCGCTCAACTTCTATCTGAATTCGGCCTTTGTTTTTAATTAATTGCCTTGATTGGTCCAAATTTAGCAATTAAAAAAAAATGAATGAAACATTTAGTTGCAAACATGTAAAAGTTCATCAATTGTATTGCATTTGTCACAGTTTGTCATCATTTTTTAGTAGTAATTGATCTTGAAGTAACAGTTAACAATTCGTTAAGCTTAAATAATTGATTTTTCTTTACGACTAAAGACACAGTATATTTTCAAAAAAGATTCTTTAAGTTGACTTAGGTTTTTCCTTTTTCATAGTTATCTATTGTTATTAAAGACAACCCCAACCATAATTAGCACAACAAGAAATTCTCATTTCTTACGTTGGTCTACGCCTCTGAAGATGATTCTGGGGGCGTGGCAGCCACTGTCTAGCTGGTTTCTTGAACCGCGTCAAAGACAGTAAATTGGAGTGCAAAAAGTGGAAGGTTTCTTATGCTCTTGGCTCCGGTCCTGAGTCATCTTTTGTTTGTGTTAATTTCCTGCGGTTGGAAAAAACGGAACAAGAAAGAAATTGAAATATAATTAAATTTTCACACAACGGCAGGCGTTTAACTAAAATGAATGCACTTCTAAAGTAAATAATAAAGGAAGAGGTCTCAGAAACATTATTTATTTAAATTGTTATTAATTTAAGTTCATTTTGTTGCCAAAGATACTGTAGTATGGATTGGAAAAAGCAGTAAGTATTGAATTTTAATAGACTTTAGGGTAAATTTCGGACAATGTGCTCTGTTTTATGCCAAACCGTTGGCAGCGCGACCTGTCCGTTGCACAATGACTTTTGATTGAAAGTAGCCCGGATTGATGGCTGAAAGATGGAGATTCGGTGCTTCCAGTCAATGGCAATCAAAGTCAAAAATGCCTCACAATTGACAAGAAATCGAGAGGACGCGGAGTAGTGGACTGGAGTGAGCGGGCCAGAATACGTTTGGCATCGTTTTCAGTTTTTGTCGGCGCGTACAATTTCTAATTTCATTAAAATTTGTTCAAAGGGCTGATGGCGAACGGCGGTGTTGGATGGATGTTGCAGCCCAGACGTTGACAGACACAAATCGACACAATAGACGTCAAACGCAGGCGGATGCGAGTGGGAGTGGCAGTGGGCGGTTGTGGGAGGGGCAGCTTTCGCAATCAAAGAGCGCCGATCAAAGTGGAAAATCGATTTTAATTGCAATCTAGGCGCAAAGCCTCGGCGCTCGATTAGCGGTCAAGTGGGTGAGTGTGTGACGACCAATGGACATTAACTGGGCGTGGCAGGTCGGCCTTGGTCCACTGTATGTTTTCCCTTCTTTTTCCTCTTTTTTTTTGATATTGAATCCGATTTTTGATGCCATCTGTGATTTTTTGACATGTTTTGGCAGCCATGGAGTTTCGAGTTCTTGTTCATTATACCAATAAAAAACCAAACAAATTAATCCAATATTTATCGGGCTATAAAAGTACTGAAAAGGTAATTTTTTTTTTACTTAAATCGTAAAAGTAAAATTACTTAAAAGTATAAAAAATCAGTTTAATTTCATCGTTTATTTTTCGCAGATTCGGTTTAAAATCGGATTTGCCGTGATATAATTTAATGGCAAAAAGTAATGTTTTTCGTAGGAATCTGTAGATTATTATCCCATTTTTTCCTGATTTCAAAATAAAAACTAAATCTGCACTCGAGTATGAGCTTCGCGACTTAAGACTGCTGAAGTTTTGGAACAACAATGATTGTGTCTTATAAAGGGTAGATGTTGGCTAAACATGAAATAAGTCAGAAACTCACACGTTGAATACATTGAAAAAAATCAAAGTTATGTCCAACAAATAAATATATTCCAAAATGCAACCGTCAGCTGTAAAGGTTAACCTTCAAGGCGGTAAGATAGAAATAAATAAAGAATTCACTATATACGTTTTTAAAATTTTAGCTTAAAATTTAAAGTCTCTAGTAAAAAAATAGAACTTTACCCACAAGTATTTTTGGATCTTTCGCTCAGTGCACTGGGAATAAGTTCGAAACACCCATGAGATTTGTTTCAATCGAGGTGTCAGTGCCTTTGCCTCCAGAACGACTACCACTACTTTAGTCTTCCAAACAGCTCCGAAGGGAGTACATCTAAAACGAGAAAATGCGATGCGGGCAGTAGAATTCTTGCAAAATTCGAAGACAAACTTTTCTCTAGGCGTTTTACCATTTTGACCCCAAAATTAATTCGTTCTAATCAAGTGACTTCCCCTTCGGAATAGTTTCAATTGATCAAAATTACAATGCTGTCGCGGAGTAAGACGCTCATTTGCATGTCGCACGTACTGCAAAAGCAAGTGCCGGGCCTGATGTTATCCTGTCGCCAGTTTAACAAGGAGTCGGAGGGCAGTCTGTACTCGCAGGATGGCTGGGACAGTGGGTATCCGATACCGACGACGCCGCGCAAGGACCTCAAGCGAATGGAGCCCAAGGACAAGACCAAGGTGTACGACGCCTGCTGGCAGTCCACGCGTCGCACTGAGTATAAATGCCGATCGGACCCCGAGTTCAATGTGCCGGCCTTCATAGATGCCCGCAAGCATTGCCTGGCCGATCCCTGCGCCAACGATGTCCTGGCCATCGACATCACCCACTACAAGCCCTCGGATATGGGCAAGCGGAAATACCCGCGCACCTGGTATGAGTGCGTGGTCAAGCGGCGCAAACTGAAGCAACACTGCGTCCCAACTCCGCCCCCTATTCCGCGGCGCAAGCGCAAGGACCTTGCCGCCCATTGTCCCGTGAATATGTGCGTTCTGGGCAAACTGGACCTCAACCTCACCGAACCCTGCAAACTGATGAAGCCCAGCAAGTGTCCGCGCTTCAAGATGCCCAACTGCTGTGTGGCCGCCCGCGATCCGCCCAAGTGCCGTCGCCCCTTCAGGCGATGTGGCACCCGACCCAAGACCAAGTATCCAAGTTTCTCCGAGTGCAAGAAAGATCCCTTCCCGGATGCCCGGCCCATTGAGTGCAATTGCCTACTAAGGCCGGCCATCTGCGAGATGTGGCGTTACTATCGCCGCCGGAATGGCTGATCAATTCGACACCGAAAAGGAAACTTTTCCAACGGTTGCTTTTATTCAATTCGGACTAATGAAATTTTTTTTGTTCAGATGCCTACCGCAAGCTTTACTAACAGAGCTGTAGAAATAAAAGCGTGTTTTCTTTCTTTCAACTAAGGGGTGTTCTAAAATATCCGCGCTTTGCAGACATTTGAACTATCAAATCGATAAGTACTTTTTCTTGAATACAGTCAAAATTTCATGTTTTTTTAACATATAAAATAGCTTATTACCAAAAAATTAAATCATAAAAATCGGCCAACGGAATCACATTTGCTACCAACTATTTATTTGACTTTAACGTGTAGGTGACGTCTGTTAAAGACATTTGGTAGCCGGCTGGCCTGACATGCTCGCAAAATTGCAATATGCAACAGCCCGTACGCGAATCTGTATCTGCAGATTGTCCGAAATGGTTACAATTCCCGGGGAATAACCAAATTCCATTATACAGATACAAATCAAATTGGCAAAAGGCATTGAAAGGGATCAAACGAGGGTTGGATGGAAGTGGGGAGAATATGCAAAAATCAAATTACCAGAACTTGAGAAATCGCAGACATCAGAGACCCATAAATCAGTAAGCGAAAGGAAGGGAATCGAAACGTACATTTATAAGAAATTGTTACCGCTAGTTAACGGTTTATTGATGCGTCGCTTTTGGCTGAATTTATTGGCCTGGTCGTTGGTCTTTCGCTTCCTCACGCAAATGCAAAATGGCCAAAACCGAACAGGAGGAAAATCGTGCAAAAGCTCTGAATTGATTTGGCTCTTAAGCGCCTCATTCAACTGGCCAAACGTCTTGCCACCCTGCTATCAAATAGCTGGATTCCAATGGTAGGAAAAGACCTCAAATCCAGCATAATATTTGCAGGTTTCCGTGGGGAAAACTTAATTGGCTCAATTTAATGGCTATCGGTAAAAATAGCTAACGAGAAAAAAAGAGGGAGAAACATTTACGAAAGGAAAACAAACATTTCAGCTTTCTTAAGATTATTTTACATTTTCTATGTGCTTTGCTTAACACAATTTTGAATTTTTTGATCGGAGGTGCTTAACACAATTTTGAATTTTTTGATCGGAGGTTTTCGTATTCATAATGCATTCAAATCCGAAAAAATAAAAGCAAGGTAATAATCATTTGTAATAAATAATATTGCTTTCAATATATATGCCGCATCTTTGATCCTCTAGGAGCTATATGGTTAGTGAATTCAACACCAGATTGTGCACATCTCAGAGCACCCTTCTCCCACAATCACAAACTTTTGGACACTGCCAGGCTTAAATTTCCAAGTTCATAAACGTACTGCTAACTTTTTTCCGCTCAAAAGTCACGTATGCCTGACCCTCCTAATATGTTCTTTGATACATTGACGATCAGGAGCTCTGTGGACGATGGAGAGGGGCAGGAAACCAAGTTGAACCTGCCCAGCTACGCCGATCGATATACGGACATCCCTCGATTAATCCGCTTGAAGTTCATTGCCCAGGTGAGCCCACAGCTGAGGGTTCCTGCCCTCGAATTGGCCCTGGATCACGTGAAGACCACCTACAATGTCAAGTTGTACGACGAGCTCTACAAGACACTCTGTGTTGAGGTGGACAGGACACGCCTAATGCAGGCGAGGGGAGGAGAAAGTCCTGCTGCCAATAACAACGAGGCCAGCACTTCGAGTGGCAGGTCGCGAGTACCTGTGCCCTACGACTCCTACTGGGTGGAGGACAACACCATGGAGGCCACTCTAATGCTCCAGGAACTGGACGCCGAGCTGAATTTCAAGAAATCCAATTCGGGCAGTGCCAATGTGCGACGCATTCTGGAGGAGATCGGAGATCATTATGAGAAAAGTGGCAACCTGCAGATGGCAGTCAAGTTTTACGCCCGAGCCAGGCCCTACTGTACCAGCAGCGACAATGTGATCATTATGTTCCGCAATCTGATCAGAGTATCCATTTACATGGCCAATTGGTGGCACGTACTGACCTACATCGACGAGGCCAAACAGTATGCCTTTGGGTTCGAGAACCTGGCCCAGGAAGTTCCGGCTCGTCTGAGCTGCGCCGCTGGCTTGGCCAACATGGGCCTAAAGATCTACAAGTCCGCCGCCCACTACTTCCTGAATACGCCATTCGGGCGCTACGACTATGACAAAATCGTGGCCCCCGAGGATGTGAGCTACTGTGCCGGACTCTGCGCCCTAGCCACTTTCGATCGGGAAAAGTTGCAGCTGCGCGCCATCAATTCAGAACCGTTCAAGCCCTTCTTCCAGCTTTCACCAAAGATGTGGACCATCTTGGCCAAGTTCTGCGAGGGCCAGTTTGACGCCTGTGCGGACCTGCTGCGCGAAATCGAGGATCGTGTCAGGCTGGATGTCTATCTGTCTCCCCATGTGGATACCCTCTACGACATGATCATGGGCAGACTGCTGAAGAAGAGGGACAGGAAAATAATGACAGATTCTGTGAAAAGGTATAGATCGTGACAAGAGACTTTTGTTTATAAAGAAATAGTGAAGGAATTAACGATCGATTTAATTTCAGTATAAACAAACCATACTTCAATTTTGCAATAAAAACTCGTACTTTAACTTTAGGCGAATTGAGAGATTTTTTAAATATTGAACAAAAAGCATTGAAATCAGACCTCTAGCTTTATTGAACTATGCTGAAATTTACTTCACAAATATTTTAAGTTGCTTCAAAAAACTATTTTTAAGACAGCGTTGAAATCGAAATATGTATAAAAAACTATCCCCGGGGGAAAACTTTTGTATAAATATGGGAAAATAGTTCACAATTCGGCTGCTTGTCACATCTTTTCTAAATCCGCCGAAAAGTTTGCGAGTAAAAGCTGTTTCAGTTTCAGCAACAATATAGGCACAGCAGTAACAACAAAAAATATAATTAAATTTTTCGTGTGTTCAGTAGAACGAACGAACGAACTTGGCATCTCACAAAGAAAAGTATAAGGGAAAGGACGAAGGACGAAGGACTTCGAAGCCGAGGGAAGACATATAGTGGGTGGTATGCAGTGAAAAGTACCGAGACGGTGGAATCATGAAATATTGCACAGTTGAAGTGATTTTTATGAACTCTTCAAAAGTAGCTCAGAGAAAGGCGAATAGACAGTGGAAGAAGTTGGGCCGTTTGAAAAACATAAAGGTTCCCGGCACGCTAACGAGCTTAAAGATGTAGCACAAAGTGCGCCCTGAAATTGCATCCATAATGGCGCCCAAGGGGGCTGGCACGAATAATGCTCCTTAAGCTTTTCACCTGCATCTCGGCATCCTCATCCACGGATGCTGGTGATTTTCATTGAAAAGTCTGCGTCCAAGTCTGCGAAATTCAGTGGCCAAAGTGGCCAAAGGTCAAGAGCAGATCAGATTCTAGGGCTCCGAAATGATAGCCCATCTCAATGTTTAAGATGAATTCCAAGAAATGTTAATTTAAATGGCTTCGCCTTCCAAATGATTTAAAACAATTTAAAATATATTAAATATTTGTTAGCTTAAATTGCACTTTGCAAAAGTATTTCTGTGTATTGCAATTTAACTGTTCAGGTGGCAATTAGTTTCAATTTTTGATCAGCACACACAAAAGTTAAAATGTTGGATTAAAATGCAAACAAGAGTTCTGTGAAATACCAATTTTGGGGGCGGCTAGAGCCACCTGAGCTGGGAATATGAAAACTATTTGAGGAAAACGGAGGACGGCGCTGATCTACCCCCACTTGGTAGTCGTGGAAAACTTCGGCCAGACATTGTGTTGAGTAATTCTTTTGTAATGCGGAAGGAAGCTGAAAACAACACAGTGCACAGCGATTTCCGTGAAAGGGGACGGGTAACTGGGAAAAAACTTTAAGACAAAGCCCAGCACTGACCTATGTTCGGTGGGCTGGGAAAATCGGGTGGCAAAGAGGTTCGCAGATAAATTGCTGCACTGTTTAGTTAATACTTCTGACCGTCTTACGCCCTGGCCTTTCGTCCTCGGCTGCTGCGTCCAATTCAGCAGGATGCCGAAGGAACAGCCACGCAGCTAGATACAAGGAACAAGGAACAGCAGCTGGCTCGACAAGTTTATCTTTTGTTACATTGACTTCCGCTAAAAGATACTAAACTAGAAAACATTCTTCTCCGCCTTCCATTCACTCTTTTTCAGTTTTATTTGCCAACGTTTCTTACAGGTTAGCGTCAAAATCCTGAGGGAGGAGCAGGGGCAGGCAGGAAAAGTTAAACAGAAATTAAAACGCAGGCTGCACAGCTATCCACAGTGGTTAAAATCAAATTTTATTATAAGATTTCATTTTCATCTCTAACAAATAATTTGTTTAATCACGGAATACAATATTATTGTTTATTAAGACCATTCTTGAATGACCCAATGTGGTATTATAAAACATTTTAATAATAACATTTTGTTAAAGTATTTATAAATACAAGTTTCTTTATCAAAGTCGCCGGTTAGCTGCGAAAAAATAAAAAGCAACATTAGAAAAATACCATCATTTTTAAAATAAGTAAATTGACAGTTTTCCCTGTTTTTTAATAATTTAGCTAAGTCCTGTCAAAAGAAGACCTGCTTTAAATTAAATTTAAATTACAATTTCTCAAAACGACAAGAGAGTTACTCTAATTGTTTGGTAAGTCGCAGAAGGCACTTAGTCGGTTGCCAAAAGGCATTTTAGAATTGACATTTTCGTCCGACAGAAATTGGAGTGTTTGAAATGGATTCGCCGGACGGATCACGTGGCCATATCCTGGCCATGGTGGTGCGGGTGTGCGCGGTGACCGCGATTACCTACTACAGTGCCAAGTGGATGCTCGGCGCACTGGATCCCAATAGCAAGATGCGCAAGAAAGCCAAACAGGTGGCGGAGCAGCAGCTGCGGAAGCTAAACTCAACGGCCAGCGATGTTGCTCAAAAGTTCCGGACGCGCGACTTTACCGAGCACGAGATGGTGATCGCCTCGCTTTTGGTGGCCCCCGAGGACATCGATGTCAGTTGGTCGGACATCGCCGGCCTGGATGCTGTTATCCAGGAGCTCAGGGAGACGGTGGTGCTGCCGGTACGTCACCGAGATCTCTTCCGCCGTTCACAACTTTGGCGGGCTCCCAAGGGCGTCCTTCTGCACGGACCGCCCGGCTGTGGCAAGACCCTGATTGCCAAGGCCATTGCCAAGGACGCTGGGATGCGGTTCATCAATCTGGACGTGGCCGTGCTGACGGACAAGTGGTACGGCGAAAGTCAAAAGCTGGCCACCGCCGTCTTCACGCTGGCTCAAAAGCTTCAGCCCTGCATCATCTTTCTGGACGAGATCGATTCCTTTCTGCGTATGCGCGGCAGCGGGGATCACGAGGCCACCGCCATGATGAAGACCCAGTTTATGCTGCAGTGGGACGGTCTGATGAGCAGCGCCAACGTGTGTGTTCTCGTCCTGGGGGCCACCAATCGGCCGCAGGATCTCGACAAGGCGATCCTGCGACGTATGCCGGCACAATTCCACATCGGAGTGCCGCGCGACTGCCAGCGACAGGCCATCCTTCAGTTGATCCTGCAGAGCGAGCAGCAGCATCCTTCGGTCAACCTCAAGGAGTTGGCCCGCCTGACTCCTGGATTCTCGGGATCCGATCTCCGAGAGCTGTGTCGCCACGCCTCCATGTATCGCATGCGCCAGTTTATGCGCGAAAAACTGAACACAGACGAGAGTGAGTTCGAGGAGGACTTCCCGGGGGAGGATCAAAACTACCAGGACTGCGAGCAGCTGCAGATTCAGATGGACGACCTGCTCAAGTCACTGACCGCCATGAAGATATCCAAGTTCCAGGCGCACAGTGCCTTTGTCGAAAAAGATCTGGACTTGGACTGAGGTCGCTGAGTAAAAATTTTAAATTGCTGCTAATGCCGACAATAAAAGCTGCATATGCTGAATCTATCAATATGTTATGGATAAATTTCCGGTTTCTTGTCTTGGTAAAGAAGTTTCGTCAACGGAAGATTAAAATTGTTAACATATAAAACAATGGTATTGAGTGTGCGAAAATAAATCAGAAGGGTATATGAATTTGAACTATATCAAAGCTGTTAATTTAAAAATTGTACTTTATGGATTTTATAAAACCAAAAGAAATGGAAACAATTTTTTGTTCTAATATTTATCCTATCCAATATTTTCCTAAGAATATAATATCTTCACAGTGCTTTTAGATTCTGTTTTACGGAACCACCAATTTATACCTCCTTAACCCATCCAATTTATCTACTTATACCCCACACTGTCAGGCAGACCAATATTTTTCACATTTCATAGCATGCATGAGGAGTTTTTGCATCCATGAAGAGCAGCGAGAAATCTGAAAAAAAAACTGAAAACAGGAGCGACTACGAAAGAACAGCAGCAGCACAGTGGCAACAAAAACTCAAAATAACAACGGCAACGGCAGCAACAACAAAAAATCTTTTATGTAAAATTGAATATTCATAAGTTGTTTCACAGAAGCGGCAGTGGCAGAAGCCTAACTACGGGCCTCCGCCTCGTTTGCCTCTGTTATACCCTCGCCAATGGTGTTTTTTATTTTCATCATGAATCTGGCATTCAGGAAAGGAGAACTTAATTAATAAGTTTTGTATATGAAAAATAGTCTTTGACAATGAAGTAAAAATTGTTACTGACATTTTTATATTTTTAGTTGCAGCTCTGATTTCTTGGTGTATATTAAAACATTCAATTTTCTAGAATTTAATATTTTTAACAAAGATACTTTAAAATATCCTGACTCGCTTTTTGTACGATCGAAATCCTATATTTCTGTAGAGTCCCACATAAAAATTCAAATTTTCTGGGGATGCTAGAAACATATGATCGAAAAATTATAATTATGCAATAATAAAATATATTACTTAATCCGATCCAATCTATAGGTAATTTATTAAAACAGGGTACTTATAGCTTCGGTTTTTGAAGCAAAAACTCTGATTCTTTTAGTGGCTATTGTTGTTGCGTTGGACGGGCAGTTGATTGTTTTTGTGTGTAGTTTTGTTTGGCTGAGTGAACCTGCAGACGCTTCCGTGCCACGCCCCCACCTTCCACGCCCACGCACACTTACCAACACAGGGACACACATGCACATGCAAAAGCTGCCGTTGTTTGCTATTTTGTCATGCAAATTGTATTTATTGCGGCCCAAAACCAACAACAAGAGCAGTTCGCTCAGAGATAGGGGGGCGAAGACAAGGCCGCCCCGCCCCCTTGTAATTGTTTGCTATGTGTCATTGTGTGCGTGTGTGGGTGGTTGTGGGCGTGGAAGCGGTGTGCGTATGTGTGCTCTATAGTAAACAAGAAAATTGACTGCCGTCGGCGGACCGTAAACTTGGAAACACATCTCCCGAATTCTTCGAATTCTCCGAATCACTATGCAACTCCCGAGATTCAAAGCCTTAAATGTCCTGAAAGTCACGATCGGTTATTGTGATCGAGAAACCCCTTCTATTTTACATACATTCGTTTCATTCTGATAATACATACGTGACTTTTAGTTTCTGAGAAACAATTATAAATATGCGAAGATTGTAACCTCAGATAGATCGTCAAGGGTTTCAGCTTTACGAGATAATGCTTTTGCTGGCGGAATGTTATGTACGATAAGGTTAATAGTCTATAATAATAAACAGAGAGCCTCGACCGATCGGCGGACAGTAGCGCAATGAAAGCACCAGTAATCGGAATGTCAGCATTTGCCAGCCTTTTATTGTTTCTTCTTCCCATCCCGGGATTAACCCAATTTCTCGACGGGGAGTGTGGAATTCAAATAGAAAATAGTTCTTCAAGTCCCTGGATTGCTTTTCTGCACACCACCGATTTGGTATTTGTGTGCGTCGGAACTCTGATTACAAACAGTTTGTATCTTTAAATTTATGGTATTTATGAAAACCAGTAGATAATACTTTCCTTTTTTTTACAGAACTGGTACTTACTGCAGCTCATTGCATAATGTCCAACGCCCAACTGTAAGTAACTGCCCAAACTTTTGCAAAAATCAATTCAAAATATTGGCTTTTTCTCTGCAGAACAGCTCGTCTGGGGGAATTTACGGGATCTCGTGAAGAAAACAACACTTTTCCAGTGGAGCACCAAGTAAAGAAATTGTTCAGGCACTCTTTTTACGATATGGATACATATGCAAACGATATTGCGATTCTCGAGCTGGCTACATATGTAGTGTATACAGGTAAAAATTGGTAAAAATATATAAACTTAATTGTTGTGTAGTTAAACACTACATTTATTTATAGAAAACATCAGACCCATCTGCATTTTGTGGGATCCTACATGGAAGCAGTATATCGACAGCATACAGGTGCTTAGTGGTCCTGTTTGGGGAAAGGCCCAGGACGAGGATGAAAGCAATGGGCTCAGAATGCTGCATATCAGGCGCCAGCCACCAGAAATGTGTACCACTATGCTCGGTACCACACTTAACAACCAGTTTTGTGCTGGAAACTCAGAAAGCAATCTATGTAATATCGACTGCAGTAGTCCGCTAGGAGCAATGATTCCATATAAGAACACCCATCGATTTATACAGATTGGTATTGCGACCACAAACCAAAGATGCAATAATCCGAGTGTTTACACGGATGTACTGTTCCACATCGATTTTATCCTCAGGGTGTGGCGATATTATGACAATGGTCAAGGTGAACAGTCGCAAATCAAATAATCCTAGTCTGAATTTTAGGCACAGTATTTGTAAAAATTGTGCCTTATCGTTTTTAAAGTTCTACATACATATGTATATTATAACACTAACCATACAACATATGAGTATATACATATCTCTGTGTTTAAAACTTGTTTTCAGATAACTTCTGCTAAATATTTACCAAATATTATAAAGATACAAATTTTTTGAAATTTCTCCGGGCTAAAACGATTTATCCGGCTAATTTGATTGTCGCTAAAATTTACGATTCCAATTTACAATTTTCCTTGAGGGTTTTATGTAAATCGCTGTAATAAAATCCGCGCCAGCTGTGACTTCTTCACGATTGTCTGCTGGATGGCATAATTGAGCCAAAATAAACTTTAAGAGAAAGGATTTCCGCAAACCACCACGGCATCTTAAAACAATCAATTTGTTTGTGTGATGTGGCACAGTCACACTCTTATGACACTTTAGGCTATCAGGTAAATTTTAATAGGTAGTTTTATTTTTTTTTTGCAAAACAGAAAAATAGAAATAACTAAACTATTTAACGAATACCTATCATAATACTCCTCAGAGTTAATTTACCCATGAAAGATTCATTAGATTTTTTATTTGCTGTATTTATACATATTTTATCAGCCAGTTGATGTTTAGAAATAGCGTTTTTTTCTGCAGCTTATCAGTTGATTTAAATCTCATAAGTCCTTCAGTTGACTATTTCAATTAAAATATGTACTTCCGCAAACCACTTGACAATTAACACACTCTTTAAATGACAATTTCTTTGCCTCTTTGCTGTTGATAAACTGCATAATTTATGTAATTTGCTTCACCAACAGACACACTCATGAGCACTTATTGATGACAATTATTTGAAATACTTTTAAGTGAGTGGGCAAAAGTTTATTGAATTAATAATTAACTGCAATTGCGTAATACAAAATTTATTTTATTGCTGTCATCAAGAGGCTGGGAGGAGCCAATCCAGGTCTGGCCCCCTGTGAATCATTAAATTATTTTAGTTGCATTCATAATTTAATTGATTTAAATGGCAATAGCGATTTCACTGTCAATTATCGCACCCCCTTTTAGCACAATATACCCACAAAATGTGCTGGCTTAGAATAATTGATGACATTTGATATTAATTACACTTTACAATCCAACTTGAAACCCTTAATTGTAAATTGCACATCCTTTTTTCGACGTTGGACGCCGACAGTTCTCGAGGCTTTAACTAATTTTATTATTATGCATTAATCATGCACCGCATGTTAATAAATATTAATGTCGCTCGGCCAGCCAGCCAACTGCCAATTTTAGCCCATAAAATTTCCGGAAAATTTTGCATAAAAGTGTACTGATTTATGGCATTGGGCAACAAAAAAAAACCGACAACTTCATTCAACGAGTGGGGTTGTAAAAAATCATACACAAATAGCAATTAATTATTTAGTAATGAAACGAAATTGTTTCGTTTAGCGTTGAATTGGATTTTGCATACCCTAAACAAACATCAATGTTTGAAATATTGCTTACATGGAATTTAAATGTTATTCTACACATTTAGTCTCTAAAAGATCTTCAAACTCAAAAAAGGACTTCTTGCAGCTTCGTAGGTATAAACGAATAATATACAAGCTAGCTTAAAACAAATGATATGAAAAAGCTATTGTACCTTTTTTTGCGATTCAGAAGAGTATTATTTCGGTGGTTCTTGTGGCCATTTGTTGCATTCGGTACAACCAGTATTGTGTATCAGTCTCTTAGTCATTAAACGCATCTGTGTGACTGAAAAAAATGGTGGAAAAACTATAAAACTCCTTTGTAAAGACACAAAAAATGAGAGACAACATGAAAGGAAGAAATGGGACGAGAGGTATCAGGGACTTCAGTCTTCTGAGGGAAGCGGTAAAAACTGTGCTTTTGCCCATGACCATTTCTATTTCCTTTGGCCATTTCTAAAATTTGCATTTTTCATGCCACAATGTATAAAATTCATATTTATAAATCTTTTAACTGCACACACCACACCAAACACAAAATGGGACACATCAAAAGCCAAAGCACAGACAGAAGTAAAAATGTGAAAATAGGAAATGCAAATGAAAAAAAGAAAAATAAAAGCCGAGTGCCGAGCATTTAAAATATACCGACTTTGGGAGCACTCTTTAGGAATTTTAGAAATATCTTAACCACTAATTAAAAATCAAGTAGAAAATATTTATCATCTAACTTTAAAGAATTTAATAAATATTAGAGATAATAAACATTAATAGTTATAATTACTATTTAGCAATGATTGTGATTGTTTTAAGCACTATTTAATCGAGTGGGTTTAAAAACTGACACCACGGTAATTTATGTAAATTAAGGGTTTACTTAAGCTTTCAAAAAATATTGAAAGCCGTATGTTTGGTAATATTGTAGTAGTAACACTTTATAGTTTTGCGATCTTACATTAGTCCTTTGTCGTTTCAAGGAGGATTATGCTTTTGTATAAAATAACATGTAAGAATTTTCTTATTTACATCGAATTTTGGCTTAAAAATATATAGTTAATAGTGCAGGGTATGTGAGAAATAACAAGAAAGGAAAGCTAACTTCGGGCGGAGCCGAAGTTGAAATACCCTTGCAGAATATTTTGCAAATTATATTCTCCAAAATTATTCATATTATGCATTCTTAATACTCATAAAAAATCCCAACTTCCTAACTTTAAAAACACCAAAGTTATGGCATTTCCAATCGTTCAGTTATGTATATGGCAGCTATAGAATATAGTCGGCCGATCCTTATGAAATTTGATATTTCGGATTGATTGGGCAAAAATAAAACCCGTAGAAAATCCCAACTTCCTAACTTAACAATCACTAAAGTTATGGCATTTCCGATCAATCAGTTATATGGCAGCTATAAGATATAGTCGGCCGATTCTTATGAAATTTGGTAGGTCGGATTAATTGGCCAAATATAAAACCCATAGAAAATACCAACTTCCTAACTTTACAAACACCAAAGATATGGCATTTCCGATCATTCAGTTATATAGCAGCTATAGGATATAGTCGGCCGATCCTTATGAAATTTGGTACGTCGGATTGATTGGCCAAATATAATACCCATAGAGAGTCCCAACTTCCTAACTTAACAAACAGCAGAGTTATGGCATTTCCGATCAATCAGTTATATGGCAGCTATAGGATATAGTCATCCGATCCTTATGAAATTTGATAGGTCGGATTGATTGGCTAAAAATAAAACCCATAGAAAATTCCAACTTCCTAACTTAACAAACACCAAAGTTATGGCATTTCCGATCGTTCAGTTATATGGCAGCTATAAGATATAGTCGGCCGATTCTCATGAAATTCGGTAGGTCAGATTGATTGGCCAAAAATAAAACCTATAGAAAATCTCAACTTCCTAACTTTACAAACACCAAAGTTATGGCATTTCCGATCGTTCAGTTATATGACAGCTATAGGATATAGTCGTCCGATCCCGGCCGTTCCGACTTATATACTGCGTGCAAAGGAAAGAAGGGTGTGTGCAAAGTTTCAATTCGATAGCTTTAAAACTGAGAGACTAGTTCGCGTAGAAACAGACAGACGGACAGACAGACGGACAGACGGACAGACGGACAGACGGACAGACAGACGGACAGACAGACGGACAGACGGACAGACGGACATGGCTATATCGACTCAGGAGGTGATCCTGATCAAGAATATATATACTTTATAGGGTCGGAGATGCCTCCTTCACTGCGTTGCACACTTTTGACCAAAATTATAATACCCTCTGCAAGGGTATAAAAATGATACAAAACCATTCACACTCTCAGCGTAAAAAAGAGCAACACCGAAAGAGGAGATATAAAAATGTGTTGCAAGTCAGAAGTGAATGAATGAATGAATGTGAATGAATATGACTTTGCCACACCGAGCAGAACACAATAAAAATGTTAGGACCTCGCTGGCCAGTGGGTGAGCGGAACCGAAAAGCCAGGAAGCGGAAGGGAGAGTGTGGTGGGAGGGGAAAAGAGGGCAGAGGGCGGAAGTAGAGCGCACGGAATGAGACACCGCTGCACGGCGCTGTGATTTTTCATTTGGAGCGACTTTCCTTGGGCTTCCTCGGGCAACAGTTGCCGCAAAACGGGGGGAAACTGAACGCGTGCGGCATGCAACTGCAAAGTGACCAAGGGACCACGTCTGTTGCATGTATTAAAAAAATTGCTTAGCCTTTTAGCCTCTCACTTCTGCATATATAAGCTATTCCCTTATTTTTGGCCTTTGAATAATAAATAAGTCTCAGTTCTTCTTGGGCTTTCCATTTTGGGTAGTTCGATAGGGGTTCTTTTTTATTTTACAGTGCTTGTGCATGTTTTGAAAATTCGCCTAAAATTAAATCTTAGACATTTTTAAATTTTCTTACATTTTATTTTTATTTAGAAAATTTTGTATGTATTTTGTATTTGTAATATGTTAATTTAAAATATAAAATAATAGTAGTATTTGCATACATAAAATAAACAGAAAGGATTCATGTGGTAATTTCTACTTATTTTACCACTCGCCAATTTAAATCATTTTATAACATTTTTATTAGTTGAGACGAAAAAGCTTGCATACATTTTGTAGCTCACCTTGCAGCGCACGCCACCTTTTATTTGCATCTGATTCCGAAGGTAAGCATCTCTGGCGTTGCTATTTTAATTTTAGCCTGCCACGCGTTTGCAGAAATTAGCGTGATGCACTTCCCATTTCCACTCTTCCCGGCACTCAGATACATTTAACTTTGGGTCTACGTTCGAGGCGTTGACGTTGCATTTTTCCCCTGCACGCTTCGCCAAAGTTGCTCAAATAAAATGGTAGAAAAGAAGTTTGCCATGGAGGCGGGAAGTCAAGAAGGAGCCTCTCATCAACCTTGCATCGCTGGCAGAAAATTTTACAACATGGAAAGAAAAAATTCAGAAATGTTGTTGGAATCCATTTAGTAACGATTTTGACTTGCCGATGGTAAGGAAATGTATCCGAAAATAATTATTCGTTACCAAATAAATTATTAATATGAAACATTTCAATTGTTTTATAAAATGCATATATTTTTGATGAGTGGTTCTTATCTTAGGCCTATGTGATTTATAAGTATTTGCCGTTTTTTTGTTCTCACTCGCTAAATCTAAATTGTTTTAATTTTAAAAAGATTTTCTTCTTAAAAATGGTAAGAATTCCCTATGTGCAGGATGTGGAATGCTGTTCTGCCGATGACTATCTTTACTCCTCGGTCCTGTCTTTCTGTCTTTGGCATTCTAATTAGCGCTGACTCGACGCACCTGCCATCTCAGCTCCCAGTTCCGAGCTCCCTGTAAACCGTGACTTCTTGGGCCGATCATGAAACGCTTCGTTAGTCGCGTGCGTGTGACATTGTGTACATGAAACAATTATGCAACATTTACGCGCAACTCATAAAAATTTCCGTATGTGCTCATGTGGAGCAGCAATGCTTTCACAATTTTCTTGGGTGTTTTCTACTTAAAAGTTGTCCGAAACGTGAAAGCAAATATGTATCAAAGGCAACTCAAGCTGGAGTTTTAGCACCTATTGAAATTAGGCTTCTAAATTTAATTTATACAAAAAAGTTAACAAGATTAGTCAATTATAAAAAGTAAAGTACATTAGTTTAGCAAATAAATAAGTACTTTTTAAAAGGACTAGCAATGCTTGTCTAATATTTACGAAAGTATGTTTTCCTTTAATTAACGTACTTGATTCAATTAAAAAGAGCTATTATTTGAATAGTATATTTTGGTTTTTAGAACAATTTAAACCAAGTTTAATGACTGACACCCATCTTAAAGAGTTTCCCCGAATTATCAGCAGAAACTTCAAACAAAGCGGAATTAAGCATGAATTGCATAAAAGTGAATGCCAAATACGCGAAATCTTTTTCGCCCCAATCGCGAAACTCCCAATCTGGCGCCACCACCAATAATTGCTAGCCCAGCGGAAAATTTTGCGCTGACTTCATTAAAATATAACACAAAAAAATCTCTTACGAAAAAAATAGAAATAAAATTGCAGGCAAAATGAATGAGTCTGGGCCACAGAGTGTAGAGAAAGAATGGCATCGATTGAGTTCAATTGGGGGGCATCGGATGGAGAGGAGGCAATTGTAAAATGGCCAGACCATGAGCTAAGCCAATAATCAAGGAGAATCCAGTGTTGTGGGGGGGGGGCCCGATGTCTGGCAGGTGGGCGGGGGACGATGTTAAGGGGGCGGGGCCGGACTCTGCGGTCCGGGAGGCGGCAGCTAATTTATTACGAGCATTTAACAAGCATACTCCTGGGGTCTCTCACGAGTCCGCTTTGATTTATTAGGTGTTTGGTTTAAAAAAAGCAAGGCAACGAAATGAAAAGCACAAGAGGACGAGGCAGAACAGGACGAACGAAGGACCAAGGTCCAAGGAACGGGCCGGATGGGGCAGGCTGCGAAATTCCGAAACACTAATGTGATTGTAATTTGTAGTTAATGTGCTGTCGGTTGGCATGTGGGCGGGCACTTCGGCTATTCAGGCATTTTAATTGTTCAAACAAAATCGGGATTTGCCGGAAGTTCTTGGACCCTTCCTTCTTTTCGCCGCGCCACGCCCATTAAAATGAACGATTTCCATTTAAGCGGACGCAAAGCCCTCATTTTAAGGTTGCCGCGGCATTCGGCACTCCATTTCTTATTTCTGTTTTTTTTTCTATACCCGGTTTTTAAATATCAAAGGGTATTTCTATTTTCAGTTTACAATGATCTTATTTAAACTTTTTTTAAACAAATAACATAGGTATGTAATTTGTACTATATATACATCATTATAGGTGATAGTTAATCAAACTATTAACATTGATTTCAGATTATTTAGTACGCGATGAATAGATTTTTCAAAAATGAGAAAAGTCCACCATAACTTGCACACAAAATCATATACTTTAAGATTGTAACATTTCATTTATTAACTATATTAATATTTAAACACTAATTACTGATTCTGACATATTTGATAGACCCGTATCCCAAATCAAACCCCTATCATCATTTAGACTCGGTGCCTGTGTCGTTGTAGTCGTCGATGTGGTTGTCGTTGAACTTGGGTTTAGGACACTTTGACCTTTGCTAAAATACCGCCAAACGCTGAGGATAAAGTCGATGTGGCTCAGGACATCAGTGTAAATGCTCGGCTGATAACATCTTTGGTTGGTGGTTGCTATTCCGATCAGGACAAAGCGACTGTAGTTTTTGTAGGGAATCATTGCTCCAAGAATACTGCTGTAGTCCATATTGCACAGACTACTTTCTGAGTTTCCCGCGCAAAATTGTGTTCTTTCAATGTTGCTGCCATTGGAGCTAGTACACATTTCTGCTGGTTGTCGACGGACTTCCAAAGTCTGCTGGTTGTCGACGGACTTCCAAAGTCCTAAATGAATCACTTTCATTTTTTACCATGGACATACCCCATGTAGTACCAGTGAGCACCTGGATGTTGTCAATATACTGTCTCCAAATAGTCCACCATGGAATGCAAATAGGTCTGATGTGCTCTGCGGATAGAGATAGTAAAAAGGATATTAACATTTGAAGCTGTTCTTGTATAAGTATGCAGTAAATAGAAGTGATCTCACCTGTGTACACCACATTTGTGGCCAATCCGAGAATGGCAATGTCGTTTGCATGTGTAACTATATTGTAGAAGGGATGCTTGAAGGTTTGGTTCACATAATGCTCCGATCGAATCGTGTCCTGCTCTTCACGGGTTCCAATAAATTCACCAAGACGAGCTACTCTGCAGATGAAATCAAAAAATTATCTCAAATTTAATTTTAAGCTTTCCATTTATTAAGAGTGACTCACAGATCCACATTGGCCTTTGTGCAATGCGCTGCTGTTAGTACCAGTTCTAGAAAACAAATACTTAAAGATTGTGATTATTGAATGGACATCTACAGTGAAACAAACTTTGAGTAATTAGAGTTCCACCGCACACGAATATTAATTCAGTCGTGTGAAGATAAGTCATCCAGGGACTTGAAGTTGTATTCGCTGTTGAATTCGGTTGAATTCCACAGTTCCCGTCAAGATATTGGGTTAGTACCAAATTGGGAAGATGAAACAGCAGTAAGCTGACGAACACTGAGATTCCGATTGTGGCTGCCTTCATTTCGCTACTGACGATCGATCGGTCGGTGCTCTCTGTTTAATAAGGTCGACAATGGGGCTTATCAGGCTTTTTATTCTGAGTTATATTATTTCTTAGCAAGCCGCCGTTTTTATACTCTTGTTTTTACAGTAAATTTTCTAAATTTCGATGATTAAAAACAATAAAAATAGTATCCTTATTAGATCAAAAAATCCCCTTATTAACCTCATGGGAAGACATTCACCCCAATTTTTGTTTTCTGTTACTTTTCTTCCCCATTGTGATTTTTATTTTTACTTTTTCCAACTGCCCAATGTTAAATGTTGAATCACATTGTTGAATTTCATCTCCTTTTGTCCTTGTTGTTCGATGGCGTTCGCATCGCAAGCTTTGGCATCGGCGGCCATTAAAGGTCATAAATCACAACATAGCATAGAAATAAATCAACCCTTTATTATCAACACATCGCAATGTTTGTTATCGAAAGGGTTATTTATAGTTCTCCTGGGAGTGAAGGGCAGAAAGAATCGGACCGAGCCCGCCGGAATTTGTGAATATATTTACCGGAATTAACTACGGCTCGCAGATCGAGTTCAAGGTTGAAATTCGCTGACCGAATTGCCTACTTATCGGTGAGTCTGTGTCTGCATGCGAGTGTGTGTGTGTTTTTGTGTGTCCTAGCAAGCTCATTAAGCAAATCGCATTATTTGCTCATACGAATTCAAGTATCTTTCCAGTGCACTAAGCACACAGAACGCTCTGACAGTCCCACAAGGAGCTTCATTTGCCGGCAATTGAAAGCCTGAAAAGACACACTGGGGAAGAGAGAAAGCTGCACATGGAAAATGAATACATCATTAGCTGCATGAAATGTCCTTGCTGACGCAAACGTACCCATGCACAGAAAACACTTTTCTTTCCAAAAAAATAAGGAAATTTTTATAAAATTATGGTGGATTGCCAAATTAAAAATATTTGAATATATGTAGGCTAGGTTTAACCATCGAAATTATTTTCCCCAAAACTAACATATTTATTTCCTACAATTATAAGAAAATTGTAATTTGTAAGACTTTATCTTGGTAAATTTTCGGAAACTAATTCTTAATCAATATTAAATAAATTTTAATTTTTATAATTTTTACCAAACTTATTTTTGTCAGTGTGGATACCCATACATATAGTCGTTTATATGAACGTGTACGGCAGCTACAAGTGGACAAAGCCGACTTTAAGTGGCTGAAAACGAAAACCCGAAAGGAGGACGAAACATCAACGCTCCATGGCTACTTAAACGGCTTAGGTTTGACGACTTATGCAACTTGTTAACTAATTACGTGCACAGCAGCATAAAGTGACTAAAGGCACACGCACCTGACCCCCTTGAACATTGAACATAGAGGGAATTTTTCTTAATGCCCAAAACAAAATATCAAATTGAGTTAATGAGACCAAATTGATAATTTTGTGGAATTACGTTGTAAGCTCAAGCATTGTTCACGTGGTGAGTCAAGCGATATATTTACATAAAGCTGCTTGGAATTAGCTGCTTGGATTTATATTTATATTTATTTAATATTTTAATATAAAGCCAGAATCCTTTGTTAATAATTGGGATAGAATCATGTTCTTTGACACTCAAATTACGCAACAACCTACAGCAACTAATAGTATTAAATTTAAAGAGAATTAGTTTTCATTTTGAGTTAGTTGAAATGTTAGCTCAACACCAAAAATTTCTGATAGCCAATTACAAGTGTCATTAGTTAATTTTAATTTAAAAAAATAAATCTAAATAAAATGTTAATATCTGATTTATATTAAAAAAATATTTATTTATTTTATGGCGAATCAAATTTTAAATCAGTAATAATAATCATTTTAATTTCCTGCCAAATCCAGAAAATGTGTTTAAATTTATTTTAAGTGAATCGGATATGGGTATTGTTAATTACATTTTTTATTCTTCTCATCTTCTAGATGTGGTTTTTGTTATTGTAATTAAATGTTGAACATTATCTAAGTTTTTAGATTGTGGATGTTTAGAATGTAGGCCTTTGTGTTCAATAAGTTAATTTCCTGCATGTTTCCTGATTACTGTTCACTGTCGCATCAATCTCGTGTAGAGCTTCGTTTCTCAAACAAATTTTAATAATTGAATAGCTTGATTGGCAAGTACTTTTAAATATACAAGTATTTTTAGGCATTGAAAAATAAATTTGTATACAGGTAGTCCGGGAAGAAGGATCGAAATAAAAGTAATCAAAAAAAAACTTTGCAGACAATCGAAGAGTAATAACAGGGGAAAATGAAAAGTAGAAACGGTTCAAAGGAAGTCAGAATGAAGAGAAAAAGAGTGATGAACCAAACAGCCATTCAATATAATAAATCACACCTTTGTCACCCAATGCGAAAACGTATTTTTTCCAATTAAAAGCCAAAGAACGTTTCCCTGCAAATTACTTTAACCTTTCGTCGGCCACCGGGTCGCCGACATGTAATTAGTTGACAAAGGTGCTCGTGCTTGTTGTTGTTAGCTGGGCTTGGGCCGGGTTTAATTGAATTTTTATCTTGGCCGATGTGGCTTCTCTCCACGTGTACCTCAAAAAACGTGGAGACAGAAGGAATCACAAATAAAAGATTTAATTTGGAAAAAAGGTTGAAACTCAATGGCTATGCAAATCTATGGAAATTCAACAAGCCTTTTACTTCAGCTAAAGAATCAGAAATATTTGAAGTAAAGCAATTTAAGCATTTTCTAATTTCAATTGTTAAGAGTGTATTAATCAAGTTGTTTTATCATTCTTCTTGAATAAAAAAATAACTATAATTAATTACTTAAATATTAACTTCCATCAGGTTTCTATTCTATAATCAATTAACCTTATATTAGTCTCTTCAATTAAACCATAATACATGGGGACATGACTTGTACAACCGAAAGAAAAACATAAATTTAGATTTTTATTTGTAAAACAAGAAGCCCCTATTTTATTGCCATGAACTTGGTACCTCTAAGCCCCGCCTAAATATATTCGCTTGTCAACATTGTTGATTTTGCGCCAGGGGCTTCTTTGTTTCGCATTTGGAAGCCATTGTCAGTAATTGTTGTTGGTTTTCGCGTTGTCCTGCCACAGAAACAGGGCAGGTGGTAAATGGGGAAGGTCCTGGGAGTGGCATCAAACCGCAGCAATGTCAACAGCATAAGCCGATTGCGTGGAATTTCGCCATTGTCCCCTTCGATCTCTTCCAGGGAATTGGCTGCTCTGCACAAAGTCAAATGATAAGTCAATTGTTTGGCTTGAAATTCCCGTTGCCCCAGCAATCCCGCTCTAGCACTTAGAAAAAAGTATATCCGGTTTTTAAATTATAGAGAATAAGTACTTTATTTAAATCCAAGTCAATGAATTGTGAGATTCTAATTAAGAAAGGGTATTCTCTGACAGGAAGTAAATTTGATAGCCATTTGACATAATTAAAATAATTAAGTTAAAAAAACATTTCTTTATGGTTTACCTTACAATCTTCTTTAAAAATTGGAAAAGCTTTTAAAATTACGTTTCAACCAAAAATAAATCTAAAAATATTTATTAATTTAAGACAACGAATTTTATTAAATATTACATGAACACCATTGCTTCGTTAAATAAAAAATATATTTATATATATATTTCCATCATTTTCGTGTTGAATGCATGATTTCTTTTGAGTGTTTATCCATCCTGCTAAAATGGATCGAAAAGTGAAGCGCACATGAACAATTGGAAGCCATTGAAAAAATGCAACTAACGGCAGCTCTGGGTTTGCCTATTATTAGCCACATTTAGTTTCAATTTGCGGTCAGAACGATCTAATTATTTATTATCCCTGGCCCTGCCCTGGTTTGGTCTGTTGACCATGCCGCACATGGTCCCGTTCCTTCAAGTCTATCGCGGTGGCTTTTATGACCACCAATTGCGCTTAAGTGGGGCAGCAGCAACTTTACGAGCTTTCCTCCAGTTGTTCCCACTCAAGCCACCTCCGATTCAATTCAAATTGGCACGCAAGCCAAATGAAGTTATGAGTTTGGCTAAGAGAGAGGGACTAGATGGTTGCTTCAGATTTGCTCGGGGGAGGTCTTAAGGATTCGAAACAACAAGTGTGCACTTTGACTAAGTCATTTAAAACAGCCTTGTGGATACCCTAATTTTACAAAAATATTTAGACTAACATACCAAGGACTTCTTATCAAAAAGAATCAAAAATTTAAAGAAAAATATATGTATATAATTTATGACAGAAAAGATTATTTAAGACGTGGATAAAACCCATTGAAATTTTGGGTACCATCAAATTAACTTAAAATATATTTTATACACAAGTTTAAATTAATAACATTTTATTAGCATATCAATTTCACAGTTATAAATTAAACTTTTTATAAAGTAAAATTTATTTAAGTTATATCATAAATAATGCTACGTTAAAACGATAAATATTTTATATAGATTATCAACTTATCAAAATACTAAGCTTTCGAAACCCCTATTGAAATCGTATATACTCCGTATACTTCAACATCCTGCTCAACATTTGCAGAACAAACAGTCGCCGTGGGAAATTATTAGAGACAAATAAATTAAATTTTATAGCTTGGGTGCGCTAACACGGAAGGACGGCAGTCACGACAGAACAGACGAGGGCAGAAGTCGATGGAAGGGTCCCCGTTTGATTGGCGATTGTTTGGGGGCAATTATAGATTTGGCTCGCTTGTTTTCCGGGAGCCTCGAGTACTGGAGCTGGACGATGGAGCTCTTATAAATGTGCAGTGTGATGGCTGGTTATCCCTTTCTCGCCAGGACAATGGCCACTTCAATTTCCTTCAGCTCCATTTATGGCTGAAACATGCAAACTAAAAGTTAAGTTTTGTGCGAACTGCGAACCCAGCAGAATAACAACAAAAGCCGCTCGACTCGATGGCGTTTAACAAAGTTATTGGCTTCCTCCTGCCTCCTGCCTCCGCATCCCAGCGTTCTTGGCCATCATCAACACTCTGTCTCTCCGATGCGCCAGCTCTCCCACTCGGTTTCTTGCCACCTTTTGTTTTTTACAAGCACTTTGCAAATATTTATGGGTGAAAGCAGCGTAAACAATAAACTCATAAACTGCAGCGACGACGTCTGCGTCACAGGACACAGGACACTGGACGCAGGACCCCGCGGGTAAATCGATTTTTAAAATGAATTATGTTTGCAGTTATGCAATACTTATATATATTTATGGATACAAGTATGTAAGCGTCATGAAACGATATGCCCAACTCAGTAGCGCACAATGGCCGCGAAACCGGATATTGCATATACCATTTTAAAGTGTAAATTAAGTAACGATAAAAGAATATCCTACAAAGTTCAGATGTAGTAAAAGCTTTTTCACAGGATAAGGGTTACATATAAGTTATTGCAACAATTAAGAGCCTTCTTGAAAGGCATTATTTCGTTATTATGTTATAAAGAGTACCTTTTCTTCGATCATTTTCGATTGTACAATGCAGGCATATATTAACAAGTAAATTTCATGCTGTTTGTCCAGCACTTTTGTGTCATATGCCTTTGTTGGTTGGAAACCTCAAAAAAGGGCGGGCATATGTAGATACGGCGATGGCAAAGGACAGGCTGTGCAATTTATAAATTAGCTAAATATTTTAGCAGAGACTCCGACTGCCACATCCTGCTCCTTCTGACCAAACAAAACGCATGCATATGCATTCCGAAACTCTATTTGCTCAAAATTTTGAGTGCAGAAATTGCGCCTAGAAACTGTACTGTCAGTTGTTATGCAAACATTTACCAGAGAAGGGGAATTCAGCTATGGAAATTAGAGTCTACATTGAAATTAGCAGGCGACGCAGCGTTAACTATGTCCCTTAACTCTGAGGTAAACATAAAACGAAAGTCGGCGTATCAGTGCGAAAATCGCATAAACAATATTTTAGTAGGGAAAAAGAAGGGCCAGGGATAAAAACAATACACACTCTATATATAATTGCTAGAAATAAATAAACATTTGTTATGTATACACAAAGCTTTGCATTAAGTTTTTATTTTGTTTTCGAACTTAGTTTGTTTAGTTCGCAGATGTAAGTATAAGTAGATTGAATTTATTTATTTGTGATAAAATGCTTAAATTGTGTGATTACTATTAATCGATTAATTAGATCTTACCGAAAAGGTTATAAAATAAATTAATAAGAAACTTTTTCAATAACACCTAAAGCAATTGTATGTAAGCAATTCCATTAACAATAATAAGCTTAGTCAGTAATGGGTATACAATTGTCTGATGTTATTAAAATTTAAATGTTAATTTAAATGAGTTGTCAAAAACTTTTCTCGAATGATTTGAATTTTTGCAGGTAGCGTAAAACATTTACACAATTGTTGGACTTAGTCAGTTCGATTGTTGCAAAGGGCATTTTAGCCCAGGGCCGGAATCGTCAATTAAAAACTCGCATGGAATGTTATCTGATTTTATATTTCTACACTTCTACATACGATGTGACTGCTTTTTCCGACAATGGTCGACTGCAAACTCTTGTAATCCTAATGAATCCAGCACCTATTTATTTTTCATTGTGGGAAATTGTGCAAATGCCAGGACAACAGTTCGTTTTTGGGGGGTCGAATGCCACGCATATAGCAAGCCACATAGCCTGACCATCATACGAATGCGAGTGTGTTCAATTGTTTAAATGTGCCGTAACAACAGTGCAAAAAAAGCACACACAACCTAAAAGAAAATGTGGCCTAAGCTCAACGAATATGGATCACTCTTTTAAAAAGTAAACGATAAAAAAGATGGTGCTGTTAGCTTACATTTCTTATGAAAAGACGTTTAGCCTGCATGCCATTAGTTTGTATATTGGTTGGGATAGTAAACTTTGGGATTTACTTTCTCCAACATTTTACAAAGAAAGCCATTGGTTTACTGTCCCTAACTGCCAAAGTAACAGATATGTCTGCAGATCGGTAAGGGTATTAAAAACAAGACAGATACTGATGTAGATTCACTCCTGCTTGTTGTTTGCATACATCAGTCTGAGCTCGGGGAATAGGCGGCCAGGGGCGGAAGTGGGCAGGGCGGATTGCTGACAGATAGACAGTATTTGCTGCTATTTTGTTAGTGCTTGTTACTGTTTCACATGAGGCTTTGTCTCTCATCAGTTTAATTAGTTGGCAATGCTTTTGCTTTGCTTTTTGCCAGCCCCTACCCAGCACTTCCATCATACCACCCTGAAAAACAAAAGCTTAGCCGGAACAATAATAATAATTGCTGTGCATTTTGTTCTTGGATCTGCACATGAAACTCATGTTCGTGCTATGACATGTGTCGGCATTTATTATTATTGATTTAAATGTTTTATCGCGAAGATAGAATGTTTTGTTTCGGAAAATGCTATTTTCGTGTTTCTTTTCTTATTTGCTTTTTTTAAGGAAAGACAACTAAATTTGACATGCCGAAGCTTAAATACGCTTGTAGCTATGGCCATTATATGTTTTTTAGATGTATGAAATGTTTTTTTGAAATCGTAAAAAAATAATATATTTCGAGCGTAAAGCTTGTAGGCTAAAACAAACAAAGTTTTAAACAAAGATTTACGAACATTTTATTTGTCGAAAATGAGTCCTGCAAACTATTGATACAAATTATAATTATCTTTATAAAAATATAAAAAAGTTTATTATATTACACTTTAACCGAACCAATAAAATTGAACTGGATACGAAACTGGATATTGAACTGGGAACTCAACTTCGAATTGGAATGGATATCGAGCTGGAATATATTCGTTTGAATACTCAGGACCCGTCAAATCAAATGAATCATCATCATAATCATTCTCGATTGGTGGCCTTGTAGGTAGTCTAATTGCTGGTCTTATCGTTGTTGTTGTTGTTGTCGATGTCGTTGTTGTTGTTGGAGTAGGCGCTTTTTGACCATTGCCATACTGCCGCCAAACTCGGAGGATAAAATCAATATGGCCCAACACATCCGTGTAAACGGCTGCTATTTGGCATCTTTGGTTCGTGAAGCTGGCGATACCGATCTGGATAAAGCGCTGCTTGTTTTGATAGGTGATCATAGCTCCCAAAGGTCCTCCGGAGTCGCCGTTGCACAGATTACTATTCCAGTTTCCCGCACAGAACTGATTGCTCACTATGTTATTGCCGGTGTGTTGATTGCACACATGTGGAGACCGGCGCTGAATATCCAGTGTCCTGAGCTCATCGCTGTCCAGTCCCGTCTCGGTGTTGCCCCATCCAGTGCCGGTTAGCATTTGGATGCTGTCGATGTAGCCCCTCCATTTGGGGTCCCACACTATGCAGATCGGTCTGATGTTTTCTGGGCAGAGAATAAATTAGTTGAAATGGGGAAAATTTTGTAGACATGGAATTGAATTTAATCAACCTCTGTAAGTTACAGCTTTTGCCAGTCGTAGAATGGCAATGTCGTTTACATGCGTTTTCTTATTGTAGAGGCGATGTCTGAATCCTGCGTCCACCCTAACCTCCGGCTTATATCCTCCTTTAAAGCTTCTTTTAAACTCCCCCAGGCGAGCGAATCTGCAGAGAATAAATTAAAGAGTTTATAGATTTTTTTTTGTTAAAGCCACTTACAAAGTCTTTGGTGGAGTAAAGCAATGCGCTGCAGTTAATACCAGTCCTGTGAAAAATAAATGATTTAAAATAATTCGAAATCCATCTGCTCGGAGGCTTTATGTCTACTTATGTGTTCCATTGATTTTCATTAGAGTTATGTTTTACTCACGATTTTTATAAGTACTTATATTTATTTACTAACTATTTGTGATTAAAGTTCCTCCGCACACGAATGTGTCGTCAGTTGCCTTTAGAAAAACCATCCAGGGACTGGAGTTATTTTGTGTAATCTGTCCGTTAATAACACGCGTTCCAGTATTCGATTGAGCTCGAGTTCCACATAATGGGTCAAGGAATTGACTGTAACCGGGGGAAGGTATAAGTAGAAACAACAAAAGTAGCATTACAATCGCTGGCTTTTCCATTACTGAGACGTTTATTGCGCGAATGCCGGCGATCAGTCGGAATCTCGGCTTTATAAGGTCCACAATTAAGCTTATCAAGCTTTAAATTCCAGGAAATTTTTTTTCTCGCGTTTTCTTATTCTGATCTAGAGTTCGAAATAATTTTATTTATTGATTACAACTTTATTGATAAGCCCGCCGCATTTTTACTTTCTAGTATAGTAAAAAACTTCGCTCTACGAGTACCTATCGCAGAAATAGATTTAAAACATCCATGAGTATTTTTGGACCAACACTCGAATTGATTTGTTCGGTCTTTAGCTCTAATATAGCCAAAATATTTACCTTTTTGTGCTGGTAAGAGCCTAAACGATTGATTTCAGATTGTTAACGCTGTGTAAGCAGATTAATATTGCCCATTTTAAATTGAAAAGTATGAAACAAAACTGAAATAGAAAATTGCCATTTCCAAATGGAAAGCAGAGAATGCGTTTATAGACAGAAATGTGCATTTAATGGGTTGCAATTTCTAGCTTCAGTTCGGAGCAATTCAGAAATTGGCGTTTATTCGTTTTAACTGCCTCGTTAGTGAAGGCAGCGAAATATCTCCGAAAGAATGCTGAAAACGAAACCGCTTCCCTCCTCAAACACTGCCGCGCCACCCGTAGTCATCATCATCATCGGACTACCCATAGATTTATCGTTTTTATTCGCTGGAAATCACATTAGCCGAGCGTAAAACCAAAGGAGCGCATAAAAATAGTTCGGCAACTGAGAAGGAGTGCATGGTTGCAGAGCTCGAGCTTCGGCCGAACAAACCTCAATACAAGGTACCTCAGAACAGTCTTTAAGCATACTGGGTGTTCTAAAAATATTTCATAATATGTTAAATAATAATATTGTTATTAGGTAAGTAGATACGAAAACATGAACATTCGCTTCATAATTCATAATATTCGACAATACTAACTTCCATTTTTTTTATATTTGTATACTTGGCTTAACATTTAATTGAGTGGAATGTTAAGCGAAGTCTTATCATAAAAATAATGTATAGTATTTTAATAATTGGTCTTCCTAACCCACTTTCTTGATACCCTGTTTATCAGTAAGATGCACTTCGGGTCTGGCTTAAAATCATTTAGAGAGAGAAAGGTAAAACGTGATGCAGGGGTGCCAGGTTGGGGGAAATGGCGGTATATTGGAATGAAGGAGGGACGCTGAGCGTAGACAACGTCTGAAATAAAAAGTGTTTGAAATTATAGCTTTCAGGCGGCTTACCCGCTCCTTTTCAGCTGGCGCTCAATTCCATCCAACCGCCGCGATGAAAGTGCAGACCTCTGTTGACTAAGTGGGGCGAATGGGTGTGGGTGGCTTGGTCGCTTGGTGCACATGAAATATGAGTTAAGAAAATTGATGACAAACATTTCAACGTTTATTGCATAAAATTACCATAAAATATTGCATGCAAGTGGCCTTTTGTCTCTCCCTCTCTGTTCTTTAACGAGCAAGTGCTCGTTATAAAAATATCCCATTGATTTGCAGAAGAGTAAAGGCCAGCATAATTGCAACACGAGATGGCGTGGTAGTAGAAAATAAAGGTTAAGATTAAAATTTGTAGAGAAAAGAGTGTCAGATGCTTAACCTAGGAATACTTGGCAAAAAATAACATAAAACAGTATAGGTTGCATGATATAGAGACTACTCATTTTATATGACTGCAGGTACTCAAATTTTTAATTATCACAATATTAATTTCCCAAGCCGTATCTTTAACTATTGTTCCGTCTTGGGCATAATTAAAATTGATGAAGAGAAGGTTGGGTTGGAATGCAAAAGCCACTACTGCATTCCTCGCAGTTGCCTTTTGGGGCTGTATGCTGGCCATGTCAAATTTATCACTCTACTCCTTCAGTGGCCACTATAAATTGTTGCCTTTTGCCGGTGAAGATGCTGGCTTTGGCATCCTTTGGCCCACCGTCCCCCTGCTGCCACGCCCCGATCTTCTTTGCCATCGCTTTATGTTTTGAGTCCTGGACAGCACCGCAGGCAACATTATTTGACGTAACCAAAGTAATTTTAATTTTCACCGCAGCACTCGCAGAACATCAGCGATGGGCTGCCCCAGGAGGCAAAGGGAACGGGGACGGGAACGGGAAGCAGCCAAGTGGCACTACAATGCACTCCATGGAGTAGTGGGTGGGTGGTGGCCTGGAAACTGGGAGTCTGGTTACTTAAGCATATTGCAAATAGACTGCATAATGAGCTATGCTTTGCTTTCCAAGAGACTCAGGTGGAAATCGAGTGAACGATGGCTAACGAGAAATGGAGAAAAACGCATTGAACCAAAAAACGGCTTTGGCTCGGTTATAAAAGTGTGTTTTTTATGGAAGTTAAGTGAAAGCAAGATGAGATGGAACAAAAATTATAAACATTCGTTTTATAAAGTTGTTGAAATGGAGTGCAGTTGATAATTCATTTTTATACCCTTGCAGAGGGTATTATAATTTTGGTCAAAAGTGTGCAACGCAGTGAAGGAGACATCTCCGACCCTATAAAGTATATATATTCTTGATCAGGATCACCTCCTGAGTTGATATAGCCATGTCCGTCTGTCCGTCTGTCTGTCCGTCTGTCTGTCCGTCTGTCTGTCCGTCTGTCTGTCCGTCTGTCTGTCCGTCTGTCTGTCCGTCTGTCTGTCCGTCTGTCTGTCCGTCTGTCTGTCCGTCTGTCTGTCCGTCTGTCTGTTTCTACGCGAACTAGTCTCTCAGTTTTAAAGATATCGAACTGAAACTTTGCACACACCCTTCTTTCCTTTGCACGCAGTATATAAGTCGGAACGGCCGGGATCGGCCGACTATATCCTATAGCTGTCATATAACTGAACGATCGGAAATGGTGTTTTGTAAAGTTAGGAAGTTGAGATTTTCTATAGGTTTTATTTTTCGCCAATCAATCTGACCTACCGAATTTCATGAGAATCGGCCGACTATATCTTATAGCTGTCATATAACTGAACGATCGGAAATGCCATAACTTTGGTGTTTGTAAAGTTAGGAAGTTGAGATTTTCTATAGGTTTTATTTTTGGCCAATCAATCTGACCTACCGAATTTCATGAGAATCGGCTGACTATATCTTATAGCTGCCATATAACTGAACGATCGGAAATGCCATAACTTTGGTGTTTGTTAAGTTAGGAAGTTGGGATTTTCTATGGGTTTTATTTTTAGCCAATCAATCCTACCTATTAAATTTCATAAGGATCGGCCGACTATATCCTATAGCTGCCATATAACTGAACGATTGGAAATGCCATAACTTTGGTGTTTTTAAAGTTAGGAAGTTGGGATTTTTGATGAGTATTAAGAATGCATCATATGAATAATTTTGGAGAATATAAATTTCAGAGTATTCTGCAAGGGTATATCAACTTCGGCTCCGCCCGAAGTTAGCTTTCCTTTCTTGTTTAGTTTTAATATTGCTGGCTACCACAATTGACGGATATATCCAATGTAATTCTGGATTATAATTAATCAGCAAATCAATTTGAAACGCTTTAATTCCCAATTTTAGTGTTTTTCTAATCTTCAATAAATCTACAAAAAAACAATCGAAATACATACAAAAATCATTTTATTTATGTTATCTCTCTGACTGACTAACCCCCAAAATAAACCTAATTCACTTCTAGAGATTTCTAACATTCATGTATCTACACATTTGCAATGACATAAACTTGCACCGGAATTTGCATAAATTTAAAATGTATTCTGTATTCAGTAACGCCATAATTTAATTTAGTACCGCAATCAAGTGGTTCAAGCTGAAATCGTTTATTTTTTGCGAGAAATGTTTGGAAATTCGGAATGACAGGCGACGAGACCAACAAACACACACGTCCGGTGGAGTGGGACGGATAGTCCTTCAATTTGGGTGATCTGCTCGTAAATTGGTAGCCAAGGCAAACTCTTTCCCTATATTCAGTCGTAAAGCCAACGTATGCAAATTTCGTATTCACTTTGTCACACATGCACACAAATAGAAAAACACACACGCACACACAACACACATTCTCTCGCACGGAGGGAAGTCCCTTTTATTCGCACTCACACAGGCACAGGCACATCCTTGTGCATTCATCATCAGCCACATCATCATTTATACATTGTATTTGTCTGCCGTAGTCGTTGTTGTTGTTGTGTTTGTTGTTTTTGTTGCCGGTGGTCTGCAGTACATAAAACTGCTGACATTTGTTGTTTCCAATTTAGGGCAGTGCATCCCCGCCCCCTCCCCACACAATCACCACTTGCGTTCAAAAAAAAATTGGAAATTTTCGGTTAGAGCTTAACATTAATTGATTTAGAATTTGTGGAATTGAAATTATGTTGAGTTGACAGTTTGGGGATAAAGTCGCACACAAGCAGACTGATGAATGTGTTTCATCTAAATGGAAAAAGGTTTTGCCGACGGCTTATCGAATTAATGGGGAGAATTTAGGTATGTTGTGTGCAGCCATTTAATTTAAAGATTTGTTCAAGCCATAAATTAAAATTCTGTTGTTCAAAATTATTTATTATATTAAACTTAATCGCGATTAGCTCCTATTAAATATTTTGAATTTTGGCAAAAAACAAGTATGAAGTATATTGTTTATATTGTTTTATATACATTTGCCGCATTCTTAGAAAATTGTATATTTGTAAATTTCTTGTATTATTTAAACATTAACTTTAATTAACAATTGTTTGCTTTCCATATCTACTTTTTATGGGTAGCCATAACATTAAAGAAATCAGATACAATTTGAATACATTAATATATGTCCTTCACTAGTGGGAGCAACTTCTTAAGTTTGAGAAAGATCAGATTCTTTGATATTAGTTTAGTAAACGATCTATGGCATGTTATACTCGTAACATTGGAGATTGGACCATATTTGTAGCCGTACTCCGTTGCTAAGCTGCTAGGCAATTCCTCAGTCAAAAGGCCACAAGCTGTGCTAATTAGCGTAGACAAAAGGCTCGAAAACCTGAAACAAGCGATACAAGGAGTTGCCAAGGCCCGAGACTGGAAAACCGAGAACAAGCTGGGCCCGAAAAGAAAGGCCAGAAATATGTGGGTTTTTATATGTGTGTGGGAACGATATGGCTGGAGTACAAGCGGCGGCGGTAGCAGTAGCAATAATTACAACCGTCGGCACACAAAAGACTTCAACACAAATACACACTGGCAGGCATATGTATGGACAAAAAGTGGAAACATTACGCATACGCCACGTTGCACGTCTGAACCTTTCGCCGCTGCTGCTCCTGTTCCCTGTTGTTGTTGCCCAAACAAAAGCCCCAGCGCACAGAGATAAAGAGAAAGCAAACCCCTTTTGACTCAGTTTGGACAATACGTCTGCGAAGAACAGAGAAAGCGAACAGAGAAAGCGAGCTGGGTGGCCCACAAATGGGTGGAGAAATGCTGCTGCGCGGCGCGGATAAAAGCTTATTTACAAAGATTGTGTTAATGCAGCTCGCGGCTATGCAGCACGGACTTTAGTGGCGTCATTTCGGAGTCTTCATGGCGCAGTTTTTTTTTTGTCCTGCAGACACCGACTCAGATAGGGAGAAAATATTCAGATAACAAAGCAACTGGATAAAATATATATACAAGAAGCGGGGGAATGAATTCCCAAGCTTACCTTAATTATTACCAAATTATGTAGAGAAGTTCAATAAGCATTCGACACACAATATCATCTCCTTTAACTTTGTAAAGAAATATAATTTAAAAATTGGTTTCTTACATATCTTGAACTTTAATGTGTTCAAGAAATGTTTAAAACCTGTACCCTAAACCAATTATTGTAAATAGCTTTATTTTTAGTCATTGTTAATTTATTTGTTTCATAATATACAACAATTAGGTTACTATACCACTTTTTACTATCTCCTTATATCCTGTTTGTATTTTTGCCAGGTAGTAATGGCTAACTCACGGCACTTCCTGCTGCCGTGAAGGAAAAGTATAAGTATAGCATATATTTGGAATATCTGTGTTACATCCTCCATTACACCATTTCCGTTTCTTGTGCAATACCTCACCAACTGTTGGCTGCTTGCATTGTGCGTATAAATTATGCAAGAGTGGCAAGGAATCCATAGACGAAATCTGATTTTCCTGAAATTTGCATTTGCACCTAGGCAAAAATGCGAAATGCGGAACCAAACCAAAGTCGTAGAGCGTCAACGAATCACGTTCCGGCAGAGGCAGCCGTGATATAGTGGGCCCAGACCCAGGCCCAGGCTCAGGCCCACCAAATGGTAGTGTGAGCCGGTCCTTCCACCCGTGGAGATGCCTAAGCTTAAGTGCCATTAGGCACTAGCACCGAAGGCTTTTCCCCGACTCCACGATCCCCTCGGTCGGCTACAAACCTCTGCCTCGGGGCCTGCTACAAATGTACATAATGCATATTTAAAGAGTTGGCTGGCAAGTGCCAGAAATCGAATATTTTAACCGGGGAGCTCGGTAGGCAGCAGCAATTGCTTGCAGCAAGGGGATCGCACATTGGGAGGCGAAAACCTGGCACTTACGGGCAAATGGCGACGCTTCTCTCTTTCGCTCATCGCTCGTAGTTCGTTGGGTTTTTAGGATTTA